CCATCTCGACGCAATCGTGCTTGAGACTCGTCATGGGATGTATCGAGGAAGGGTGATTTGCAACTCGAATGTAGGGCGTGCGAGGGAAGCTCCATTCGACTGAGCGCTCCCCTTGCAGTCTTCCGTGATCAACGATCTGCAGTACGCGTGACACAGCATATCTTCGTCTCATTCAGCAAGGAGTGCGAGTCGCAAGTGAGAGCTAAGATCGAAACAGCTCACTGGGGGCGGTCTGAGCGAGTCATCGGAGGTGGAGCATTCCGGTCGCGATGGCTCAAGTGAGCAATCGACATAGCCCGGACGCAACTGTGGGTATCTTGGAGCTTGTTATCGAGTCGTTCCAATTGGGGAGGGTGAGGGTGTTGCAGTTGCTAAACGGTGTCATGCTGCCTTAGCCGGCTCCAGGTGACACGCCAAGTGCCGGGTCGAGTAGGGTCGAGCCGCATGTACCGGGCAAGTGACGTTTCACCATGGCAGCAAGGCGTTGCGTCGCCGTGTCTTCGTGCAGTGAGAGGAAAAGTCGAGCCGAGTCGAATGGTGCGAGGGATCGGCGGATATCGAGTCTTGGGTGGCGGATGCAGCAGCGGCAAAGTTGAGAGCTTGCACGCTCTCGAATCTGTCGCACCGAGTTGAGTTTTGAGGTCAGGGCCGATCGAGAGGAGATCGAGGTCGAGCAAAGCAAGTTTCGCCAGAAGGGCCTCAATTCTCAATCGGAAAGGGTCGACGATCATTCATCCATGAGCTAGAAACGGTTTCGAGCGAGTCGGAGTTTAAAGAGTCGAGTTAAGCGCAGGCCGAAATCCATGACCTGGTGGAGCGAAAGAAAAGTCAAACATAAGCAAGAGGGCACAGATTTGCCACACGCGGTGTGGAGGAAGGGAAAGCCTTCAGGTTAAAGGCACTCACTGACCTTTCGGACGTTGCTCGTGTTGTGACTGCCAAACGAGTTCGTCCCAAGCGAGGTGACAAGCGAAGCGAGAAGGGATGGAGCACCGTGCGATGCTGATCGCGGTCCATGACCGCATGACCAGGGCTGCTGAAGCGGGTACGAACGCGCATCTTGCAGAGGTGGGATGATGATCGCACGAATAAAGCTAGTCGAGCGAGTCGCCGAGTTGGATTGAGAATGCGAAGGACCGTCACGGTCCGAGGCGGAAATCGAGCGGCGACTCGGGACTTTATGTTTCAACGTGCGCAACGTAGGATGGAGTTCGAGTAAGTTGCAAGCAATGAGGAGTGTGCCGTGGAACATCTCGAGAGTTTTGCCGGGAAGTCGATCGGTCGGAGTGATCGACGAGGTTGAAAGCCAGTGTGCAAGGACGGTCGAGATGTTTGCAACGACGAGTCGGGACATAGACAGTCTGTGGTTTTGGGTGGATGACTCGACGAGGAGGATGAGGGCGCGGGAGGTTGCGTGAATCGCGGCGCGGTCGAGACGGGGTGCAAGTGCTTGAGCCAATGAAGGTGTCGATCTGGACATCGACGAAATCAGTCGAATTGTGCAACAGATGTTCCGACAAGCCCCGAGCTTGCCGCGTCGATGAGACCCGTCGATCGAGATGTTAGGGCCAGTGATCGCATGCGAGTGGTCGCTCGACGTTGACGACGCGGGTGAACGATGTGGGGGTGGCGGAGGTGATCGTGACAGGTCGACAGTGGCGTTCGGGGCCGGGCAACGAAAATCGAGTGATGTGTGCCTCGATTCCAGGCCACAGGAAGGGCGGTGATCTTTCGATGGTGCTGATGAGGGATGTGCAGACTGTGGTCGAACAAGTCACAGAGTGATTCGGTGCGAAGCTCAGGTGCCAGCGAGTCGGCCAACGCGCGATCTAAACTAGAGTGATGCGCAGCAAACCCGACCATGAGGTGAGCGAATATAGTTCCCGCTGAATACTATCTGAATGAAGAGCTCACCACACGCATCAATCGAGTAGTGAGGGGGCGATCGGGGTGATCGAAGCGATGCGCTGACCGAGCACGTGTCCGACCGAGAACGCTCGAGCGATGCATCGACGTGGATTAAATTCCCACGCTCCTGAACGAACGATCCCTCGCGCCGAGTTTTTTTGAGGTCGGGGGCGATGGAGAGGAAGTCGAGGCCGAGCAAAGCAAGTTCGCCAGAAAAGTCTGGACGCTGAGTCATCAGTGAGAGCTAGAAACGGTTTCGAGCGAGTCGGAGTCTAAAGAGCCGAGTTGAGCGCAGGCGGAAATCCGAGACCTGGTGGAGCGAATGAAATGTTCAACATGAGCAAGAGTGCACATACTTGAAACACGAGGTGTGAAGGAAGGAGCGGCCTTTAGGTTGAAGGTATGCACTGACCTTTCGGACGTTTGCTTGCTAAGTAAATGCCAAACGAGTTTGTCGACACCAAGCGAGGGGAGATGGAACACCGTGCGTTGTTGAGCGCAATCCATGACCGCATGTGCAGAGTTGATGAAGCATTTACGAACGTGCAAGTCGGCGAGGTGGGATGGTACGTATCAGGCTGGTCGAGCGAATCGCCGAGGTTGATTGAGAGTACGAAGGATCGTCACGGTCCGACGCCGAAATTGAGCGGCGAGTGGTCCGGAGAAGCCCGAGTCGGGACTTTATGCTTCGACGTGCACCACGTAATAAGGAGTTCGAGTAAGATGTGAAGCAATGAGGAGGTGTTACGTGGCACATCTTGGGAGCTTTGCCCTGAAGTCGATCGGGCGGAGCGATCGACGAGGTTGAAAGTCAGCGTGCAAGTCCGGTCGAATTAAACGGCAAGAAAGACGAGCGGGCATGTGGGATGTTGAGGTGCCATGAGGTGAAACGTAGCGCTCTGTGGTTTGGACAAATGACTCGACGAGCCGGATCACGAGGGCCGGCGATTGAGTGAGTCGCGGCAGGGTCGAGACGGGGTCGAGACTGGGTGATAGTGCTTGAGGCAATGCGGGTCTCCCATCTCGACATCGACGCACTCGTGCTTCAAACTGGTGGCGAGAGGTACCGAGGGATGGTGATCTGCGGGCTCGAATGCTGGGCGTGCGAGCTTGTAAGCATCGCTGCGAAGTTCCGTTCGAAGGAGCGCTCCTAGTCCGGGTCGTTCTTGACCAACAATCTACACTGTGCAGTGACGCGACAAATCTTGATCGCATCAGCAAAGAGTGCAAGTCGCAAGCGAGAGCTCCGACTGGATGGCTCACTGTGTACTGTGGGCGGTCTGAGCCCGTCGTCGGTGGTCGGGCACGTGCTCCGGTCGCTAGGCTCAAGTGGGCAATCAACACAGCCTGGACGCAGCTGTATATATCCATGAGCTCGGTATCGAGTCGTTGAAGGCCGATTGGCGATGATGAGGGTGTTGCAGTTGCTGAAGACGCGTCGTCGCTTGCCTCAGCCGGCTCCAGGTGACCCGTCACGTGCCGGGTCGAGTAAGGTCGAGCCGCTCATACCGGGCAAGTGACGTTTCAACGTGACGGCAAGATGTTGCGTCGTCGTGTGTTTGTGTCGTCGTGTGTTTGTGTCGTCGTGTGTTTGTGCACTGAGAGGAAAAGACGAGTCGAGTCGAGTGGTGCGAGCGATCGGCGAATGTCGAGTCTTGGGCGGCGGAGGCAGCAGCGGCAAAGATGAGAGCTTGCACGCTCGTCAACGAGCGATCTGAGTTTTGAGGTCAGGGCCGATAGAGAGGAGATCGAGGTCGAGCAAGGTAAGCTTCGCCGGAAAAGTATCGATCCTCAAGTGGAAAGAGTCGACAATCATTCATTCGTGAGAGCCGAGAACGGATTCGAGCGAGTTGGAGTTTAAAGAATCGACTTAAGCGCAGGTCGGTATCTGAGACCTGGTGGAGCGAAAGAAAAGTCAAACATAAGCAAGAGTACACACACTTTCAACACGACGTGTGAAGAGAGGTAAGGACTTTAGGTTGAAGGGCCGCACTGACCTTTCGGATGTTTGCTCGCTTTGTGACTGCCAAACGAGTTCGTCGACGACCAGCGAGGTGAGTGCACGAAGCGAAGCGAGGGAGCGCCATGCGACGCCGATCGCAGTCCATCACCGCATGACCAGGGTTGCTGAAGCGTGTACGAATGTTCGACTTGCAGAGGTGGGATGGTGGTCGCCCGTATCAAGCTCGTCAAATGAATCGCCGAGATCGAATGTGAGTGCGCAGGATCGTCACGGTCCAACGCCGGAAACGAGCGCTGAATGGTGCAGAGAAGCCCGAGGCGTGACTGTATGGTTCACCGTGCGCAACGTAGAATGAAATTTGAGTAAAATGTGAACCGATGAGGCATTACGCGGCAAACATCGAGAGTTTCGCAGGAAGGTCGATTGGATGGTGCGATCGACGAGGTTGAAAGCCAGCGTGCAAGGCCGATCGAGTTTGATGTTGACCAGGGCGAGCGGGCATGGGAGATTTAGCACGAGATGAGACTTGGTGTAGTGGCTTTGAACGGATGACTCGCCGAGCTGGATGACGAGCGCGGGAGTTTGACTGATTCGCGGCGGGGTCGAGACGGGTGAAAGTGCTTGAGCCGATGAAGGTCTCGGTCTGGACATCGACGAAATCAGTCGAGTCATGAGATGTTCCGACAGCTCCCGAGCTTGCCGCGTCAATGAGACCCGTTGATTCGATCAAGAAAGAGACGTGAGGGATTGCATTCGTGTGATGGGTTGACGTTACGATGTGGGGGTGGCGGAGGAGATTGGCGTAGGTCGCAGTGCGTTCGGAGTGGAGCGACGAGAATCAATTCGAGACCTCAGCAAAGTTGAGCGCCTCTTCGATGGTGCTGATGAGGGATGCGCAGAGTATGGTCTTACAAGTCACAGAGCGGTTCGGTGCGAAGCTCGGTTGCCAGCGGGTCGGCCAACGCGCGATCTGAACTAGAGTGATGAGCAGCAAAGATAAACATGAAGTGAGCAAATGGGGCAAGAGCTGAGTACTATTTGAATGAAGAGCTCACCACACTCATCGGTCGACTAGCGAGTGGGCGATCGGGGTGATCGAGCCGGTGCAATGACCGAGCACGTGTGCGACCCAGGACACTCGAGCGATGCATCGACGCAAGGCTAGCACGCTGCTGAAAGTGACCACGCCCTTTCAGATCAACCTGTTCAGCGTATCTTGCTGAAGATGACGATGTTGGAGTCGTTGATATTCATGTCGTGCGACGTCGCACCGTGCCCACCTCAGTCGGCTTGAGGTGACACGTCGAGCTGTAGTTGAGAGAAATCGAGTTGCATCTTGCTGATTGAATGGCGCATGCGAGCGATGTGAAAGCATGTGACGTCGAGCTGTGGCGTGGTGCGATCCGTGCCGAGTCCGAGTCGTGTCAAGTGGTGCGAGTGGTGCGAGTGAGTGGGGAGAGGGAAAGGAGCGTTGGCGCGCGCGAACGTGAAGTCGAGCCTATACATGCAGTGGGGTTGCAGTACAGACACGAGATCTGCGGTACAGACATGATAATTTCGAATCATCATGAGTACTAAAATACACATGCTATCATGTTCTCCTTGCAGATTCAAAGTAATTCTACTCATATAATTGTTCAACAGCATCAGTTTTATCTGATATTATGGACCTAAAATCAAGGGACGGACATGTCCGTCCCGCAGACCGCCGTGTCCGCAACCGCGACCGACAAGTGGACGGACATGGGTTACGGTACGGACACGAGATCTGCGGTACGGACATGGCAATTTCGAATCATCATAAGTACTAAAATACACATGCTATCATGTTCTCCTTGCAGATTCAAAGTGATTCTACTCATATAATTGTTCGGATCTAGATGTGTACCTAAAATCAAGTGGACGGACATGTCTGAACATTTGTTCTGGCCCAAGGACTAGGGGCAGTGGACCGCGCGCGCCAAAGTCTTCAAGGCCACAACAACTAGTGTAATTGAATATACTCAAAGCACAATGCCATATTAGCACAGATTAAGCATGTACACACCAGTTGGGATCGGGACAGATTCACAATAAACTTATCTACGTCTACAAGTCCTCAAGTCTGTGGTGCCTCAGCTCCAGCGATACCCGAAGCCCGAAATGGGAAACCCATTTCGGAGATCGCGAGCGCCGGTGGCCGAAGGCGGAGAGTGCCGCTGCCCCCACCCCTCTCTCCAATACCACAGGATGCTCGCGCGAGCTTCTTTTCAAGCGCCTCGCAGGAGTCTGTGGCATGTGGTATTTCTTTGCAAGCGAGGCGCGGGAGTCTGTGGTAGGGAGTCTGTCGTATCTGACAGGCCGGGCGCGGGCGTGTCGAATAGCACAAGATGCTCGCGCGAGCTTCTTTGCAAGGCAGGCGCAGGAGTCTGTGGTATCTGACAGGCTGGGCGCGGATATCACATAGCACAAGATGCTCGCGCGAGCTTCTTTGCAGGCTAGGCGCGGGCTTGTCAAATGGCACAGGGTGCTCGTGCGAGCTTCTTTGCAAGGGTCTCTCGGGAGTCTGTGGTATGTGGTATGTGGGAATTGCCCATATATATAGGTTCCCAACGATCGAGTCATACTGG